CATCTCTTGATAAAAATAATAATATCTCTGTGGAAAACTGAAAGAAAATTAAGTGCGATGTTTCCATCCATCAGCTAGTTTTACGTGAGTAATAGGAGCTGGTCTGTGAAGAGGTGACGGTGCAGATTCTCCCGTCATGAAACCAGCACAGGTTTAGCATGACGAGAAACATCTGTGCTGTCTACTGTCAGCAGTGACCCCGCACCACCGAAGAAGAAGCTATCAGCAGAGGCGTGTAAACGTGTTGTTGAGACGTCATAAAGTGTGACGAACTGCCAGCAGCCAAAGCAATCAGGAGGTTTTGCTTCAGCGAGAGCAGAGAAACCTCGTGCATCTACTTGGAGCTGGTTGGGAAAACTCTTCCCTAGCAACCAGTGGTTGCTGGGGGTCACCAGCTGGTCTCTACGCCTGTGTGACTGATGGAGGAGTGTGGTGGAAGTTTGCAGATACAGCATCACCTGAGGTTCGTCTGACTCTGCAGACCTCAGCTGTGTGGTGCAGCCGTGTACCTGCTGGATGTCCTGGTGCAGAGTGTCCGGGTTCTCGTTCAGCTCCAGTCGAGCTTTCTCCGTCGTCTCCGAGCTCAGGCCGGCGTGTAGGTGAGACATCATGGCGTCTCCCTCTGGATCTACTCCCGATGCCCTAAATGGTTTGAGCACTTCCTTCAGTCCAGTTTTAAAGAGTAACACCTGCAGGATGTTCGTGTGCCCTTTGTATCAGTAACACAATCGTGTTTGCTGTGCGTTTGTGACGCGTGATGTCAGATTTCAGCTAAAGGACGAGGAACTCTTTGATCCTCTCCTGTGAGACAATCGTGTGTGATGCACAATCTGCAGCTTATAGAGGGACAATCATCACCGCTGTCTTCTTTTACATCGTCGGCTCTCGGGAAGCTGAAAGTCCTCAAAGTCCAGAAAGTCCTCTAACCTTTGGGCAGAAGAAGAAAACACCAGCTTTTGTCCTAATTCTCCTTCCTGTCGACATCCCGCCTCCTCCTGCTCTCCATCGTGGTTCTTTCAGGTTTCATCCGGTCATGTCGCTGAATCTCTGCTCTGTCATGGCGAAGCCACTTGCGACGAAAGGTCCTGCTGTTCTGCACTCGGTAAAGATGGACAGGTCAGTCGGGCCTCCTCAGCCTGGGAGAGGGGACAGATGGAGAGGACATGAAAGTCACTGAAGATCAGAGTTCTGCACACAACCGAGGGCTTGTTCCTTCACCACCTCCTACACACAGGCGGTGGAGGCTTCACTACGTCTAAACTAGAGCTCAGACGTAGTGAAAATGGTACCAAACACATGGACGCACAGAGCTACAAAGTCAGGCTGCATTTCTTCTGGTGGCCAGCAGATGGCGACTGCTGGATGCAGAGAGACTTGCGGTGCTACAGAAGAAAACACCCTTCACTGCCTCTCTGTGAGATCATGGCTCAAGTTTCAGGTCTTACCGGATAAATGTGGGTTTACTGTGGGCTGCAGTGGGCTTACCCACAGATAAGTGTTTGACCAGCCCACACCCCCCCACAGTTCACCCACCCCCACAGTTCGCTGCCGTAGGAGAGCTCCTTTTTAAAATTACACATCAAACATGAACTTCCTGTTTGTTCACTGCAGACGAGCCTTTAAAAACTGAAATAATCAAGAGTTTATATCAGAGAAATTCCAGTTCACCATTTTATTGGAAATATTTCAGCTTTCATTCATTATTTTATGGGCTCATTTGTCTGTACTGCAGAATTTTTTATTATTATTATTATTATTATTATTATTATCTGATAATTCTTTGTCTCGATGATTTTTTTATATTTTTACAAAATATGTTTCTGATTTTAATTTTTTACATTTTCTTGATTCTTTTGGTGTATTTAGCTTCTATTTTGAATTTCATGCTTTATTATTATTATTATTACCTCGGACTCAGTTCCTTAAAGTGCAGTTTTTATTTATTTATTACAAGTTTTCATTTTATTTTTTTCATTCTTATTTTTATTGTAGCGTCTTTATCTCGACATATTTTTTAGATTTTTATTTTATTTCATGCAGTTTCTTTGTCTCCAAATGTCTCCACATTTTTGTAAAAATTATTTTTATTATTATTTTTATTACAGTTTGGTTTTCTGTATTTTTTTTATCGTCTTAATTTTCTTCTTTTTCTCAATTTTTCCTATTTTGCGCCCTGTTTCCTTCTTTTCTTTATTTCTAATTTCACGGGGGGGTTGCTGCCTGCAGATGACCCGTAGACCCTCCACCCCCTCTCCACCCAGCTGTCTCCATCTGCCGCGGCATTAATCGCGTCAGGCGCGCAGTCTGTGGTCCTAACGTGAAGCCAGGAGCTGCCAGAGGCTACTGGAACATCTGGCACATCTGCAGCAGTTTCCTGATGTTTGAGGCTCGTGCACAGGCTCAAAGTGACCCTCCGCGTGCTCGGGCTGCAGGTGGAAACCTGAAACATCCCAGAGGACGCGCTCACCCGCATTTTAAAGGGAATTACTCACAGAGCTTCCGGCAGAGCTGCTGCTGGTTCAATCCCGGCCGTCCTGACTGGCCCGACGGCCCTCCGGCGGTGGTGCTGATGCTGAGGACGGAGGAGGAGGAGGAGGCCATCGGACAAAAGAGATCTCCGTTAGAGCCCAACCGGAAACAAACCGACATGAAATCAAACGGCTCTGAGAGGATGAAGCGCGTGCTCGTGCATCATGAGGAGGAAGAGGAGGAGGAGGAGGAGGAGGAGGTGCGTTTCCACTTTGTGCTCCGACAGAAGACGTCAGGATGCTCCCACACTGTCATTCCTCAGTCATGAACAGCACCGCTTCCGGTCAGCACTTTCAAAATAAAACTCACTGACCGTGAAGTGAAGCGTTTCAAACCTGCGCTGATGACCTTCATCTGTGAACCCTCTAATCTGGCCCCGCCACCTCACTCTCAACGTCAGAGTATTAGGTTAGGCCAAACTGGCCATTGTGTGCATCATGTGGACTGACTGACTCCTCAGTGTCACATTTAACACGCCAGTCTTTGGTGTTTGGCTCATCGCTGCAGCCTCTGGTGGACATCACAGGAACTGCAGTTTCTGCTATTTTCGGGTCCAGAGGAATTAGCTGAAGAGGACCCGTGCTTTGGGCAGTCAGCTTAGCTTAGCATGTTGTTGCTGATGACACCAGCTTCACAGCTTGAACCTTTTTTTTTTCTCTGATTGTGGAGAAAGGTGCTTCATTGAGCCGTTTGTTTTGTTTGCCCAATTAGCTCAGCTGGTTAGCGCATCATGGGTTTAAGCCCCATACTGGCCACAGAGCTTCAAATTCTTCAAAGGTGGAATTACTTACATGAGGGCTTCAGTGCTGCTCTAAACAACTATATTACAGCGTCTGATATATCAAAATGAGTATTATT